CCCCCAAAACCCCAAAACCCCAAAACCCCTTATGATATAAACGTTATTGGCTAGAACTGAGATTTCACAAATTCTTCATTGAGTTCATTGATTCCTTTGTATTTGGTAAAGGCATTTGGGAATTCAGTGGGCAAGGTAGGATACTGGGCTGATGAGTAGAACTGGACTGACAACTTCTGCACATCTTTGGGATCATCTGGTGCTATCTTACGTACATAAATGTCTTCTAATTCTTCAAGAGTCAATGAATCCAACTGCTCAAGGCTCTTCTCCCTAATTTTAAAGTCCTGGTCAATAATGGTAATATCCTTCCAAATTCGAGCAGTTCTGTCGCTTAAGGATTGGTCTGGTTGTGTGATCTGCTGACGGACACTATCTCTGACAACTTCAAACTCTTCTTGAGTCATGTTCCTAATTTCTTGGCTTCTAAATTCTCTGAGCATTTCTTCAATATGATTATCCATCTCCTGCGGAGATTCTTTGTTGCCCTGAATAGTTACGTAGAGAAAGCCTGATCTTCCAATCGAGAAGGCTCCAGAAGAGGCAATGTAGCCTAGTTGCCGCTCAGTTCTAAGGTAGTTGTAAGCAAAATTTGAAATCAATGAGCTTATCATGTTGAGACAGATCAGGTCTCTGATGCTTGCTGGCACTCTATTTTCAATGAAACTCACTTGGTAAGTGTTAAAAACGGCTGAGTCCTGCTCATCTGGGTTGAATGAGTGGTAAGCATACACATAAGGCCCATCTAGGAAATGAAGCCTAGTGACCGCCTTTGCAGGGTTGTCTAGAGTTCCAGCCTGGAGAATTGAATCAATCGATTGCTTGAAGATGGACGCCTGCTTACCAAGTATATTGCCATGCACAAGTGTTTTGATGTAAGCTTGATTGAATAATTCTGAATGTAAATTCTCAACATCCTCAAGAGTGAGATTTTTAGCAGCCTCAAATATTTGATTGAAAGAATGCCCGTGCTCTCTGTATAGTATTTTTGAAAACATGAAAGCAAGCTTGAAAGGTTGGTCAGTCTTCAGATTCTCCAAATCATTCAAAAATTTGACTTTAATAGCTTCGAATTTGAATTCAGTTATTTCTAAGTTTTTAAAACTTTTGAGGAGTGTTTCTGTAAGTTCTAAGATCTTGTCATTGTATCCTTCAATATTCATCTCCAACCCGTTTGCAGTAGCAGTGAAGGTGAAGGAATAGCTCATTTGCAGTGCATCGTAAAGATTTTCAAGTATCCACTCTCCAAGGAGGGACTCGAAAAAGTAAAGTGTGGTGGACTGTTTTAAATTATCATTTCCTTTGTCAGTTTCGATTCTAATTCTGATATTGGCGACAGGAATCTTAAAGGATCTATCTAGCTTATGCCACAGCTCTCCTTTGTTATCCTTTGCTAGCAGGGTTGGTGTGATACTCTCGCCGTCAGCCTTCATTGCTTCCTCACCACAGTCATGAGTGACATCCATGATAAATCTCAGAGGATTCCAGGTTCCGTAGCAGACCATTTCCATTTGTTTGGGAAAGAAGTTATTCTTAGCAGAGATTTTGAATTTTTTTGGGTCAATAAATTCTGAATTATTTGCTAAGACCAGCTTTCCTTCGTCCAACTCTGGGTAACCGTAACTATCCATTTTGAAATGATCTATAGGAAGCAGAGAGTATTCCGTTCCATAGAATTCTTCTTTCTGGCTAAAATCAGTGTAAACACTGCTGTTTTTATTAGACATTTCAGGCGATGAGAATAAAAGGAGCATGTTATCCACTGTGACCGAGTCTAGTACCATCTTAAATGCCTCATTGTCCTGCTCCAGCAAAATAGAATCCGTTGCATAAACATATTTGAAAGGATATTTATGCATATTACTTGCTAAAGCTGAGCTATCACTAGTGGATGGCTTCTGACTCATGTAGTAGAAATCATATTCTGAGACTTTAGACATGATTTCCCATATATCTTGAGATTCATAGTTTTGCCGGACATACTCTAGCCAGAGGAAGAATGACTGGATGACGTACTCATGAGTCTCCACGCCTTTATCTGTCAGAGTGAATTCTATTTCGAAGAGTGACCAGCATTTGTAAGTAACAAAGCCTGCATCTAAGTCAAGAATTAGGTTGAGATTTTTCAAATTCCAGAAGAGACTATCAGGCCCTTGGTAAGTTATCAGGTCGCTGATATACTTCAGCGGGTTTGACTCATGATGTTTTAAGACATTTATCCCTAACATGAATGCTATTGTTAGAGAATGAGTGTTCTTGACTGGATCAAACCTGATTTCTAAGGGGAATTTAGTATCTCTAAAGGGAAATGCTCACTTCGGAGGCCTCTTAAATTTGTTAATAACACCTATAAATTTATTTGTAGCTAGCTTCTCAAGTTCATCGAGGGTCTGGTTGCCTATTATAACTAGTTTCATTAAGTTTGAGCTGTAATATTCTTCATAGAAGGTCCTTAATGTTTTAGACATGTTCACATTATTTTCAAGAGGGATGTTCCAGAGGGTATCTACATTCCCAGTGAAAAAGTCATGGTAGGTATAATTCACATCTGAAATGCCCTTTATCAATTTCATGGCCTTCCAAGAGTCATTGTTGAGATTCTTCCGGTGTTCAGAATCAACATTTTGTACTTCTTTTTCAATGCTTTCCGAGTTGAGTGTTGGATCTTTGAAAAACCAAGAGAAAATGTCAATAGATTTTTCAAACTCTTTTTCACCAGATATGAAGTAGTAATTGGTCTCTTCTGGAGAGGTGTAAGCATTAGAGTAGCCACCACCAAGCTCTGCATTCTTTTGTAGCTCTCTTCCATCTGGGTATTTGGAACTACCCAGGAACAGCATGTGCTCAAGAAGATGAGCCAGACCGTTTATATCTCTTGGATTTTGGTTTGATCCTACTCCAACAGATACTGCAGCTGAAGCTGTTGTGGATTTTGGGTCACTGACCAAGATGGTCTGCATAAGATTTGGGAGTACAATTCTTCTATATTCCCTCTCATCAAAGTTTGGTACAATAATATCAGCATCCCTTCTTGTTGATTCTACAGTGGCTGGCATTGAGAATAAAAAGAAGAACCCCAGAAGGAAAATAAGCAGGAGCATGATCACTCAAAGAACCCAAAGGAGGGGACTTCGCTTTACATGTTCCATTGAGAACCTCTCAGACCGTGTTAATGTCTTCTGGTTGGTAGGATCAACATTCTCTTGTCCAAGCTTGCTGTGCATATTGAATTAATGTAATAATCAATATAGTTTTTGAGCTTTGGGGTTTTGGGGTTTTGGGGTTTTGGGGTTTTGGGG